CAGTAAAATGCGGTGACCAGTAGAGTCCAATCTGTGTCCGGTGGAGACTGTTATTCACCTCAGACAATGGATTAAGGGTTGCTCAAGTCCATGGATTGATTGAAGTTAGACATTGACACTGTTGGATGCCGGCTCAGTGTTCTACAAGTTAAGTGTTGGTGAGCGAGACCCAAGGTCCTGAGTTCGAGTCCCACGTGCAGGATCGTGGGTGCACACTACCGAGGAGTCCTATGATAGGATGAAACGGCCATCCAGTGCTTCCAAGTTTCCAATGGTGGTCTAACTTTGGTCGACTCATGACCTCAACTATTAAAATTACTACAATCGCCACAAATCCCCATTCTCCGTAAATTGTGCGATTACCTATTAAAATTTGACATTTTGTCTACCTGAAGTCAGTTTGTGATCTAAAACTACGAATCTCATATCACTCAATAAAGTGCTGGTAATACACAACTTTCTGCTATGAAGTTGAATTTTATAGTTAACATTATGAACCGATCTTTGTTAAGCAACTATTGAAAACCAGACAGCACTGGATATCTGTTGAGTCCCGGTTTGGGACTCTTCGGTAATGGTCATCCGCGACCTCACCAGAGATCAAACTCAGCACCGCCTCCCTCTAAGTGGGCGTTCATACCTGTCCAGTGGATTTCAACTATGTCGGATATGGAGCAGATACCTATCGAGGACATCAGCTGATAGTTGCGCGAGATCGCGGATCAATTAGAATTAGATATGTAAGCCATCGGATCCCAGCTCAGTTGTCTGGAGTCTAAGTACTCGCAACGAGATCAGAATACCACCGGTTCGACCCATTGTAGGGTCATGAATGAAGAATGCTGAGTGGTGTCACACAAAGAAGAAGTAGTTGTTCAGTGCTCCAGGATTTTGACCAGCTATGTAAAGTCATTTCTTGATGTTGACTATAGAAAAGCGAGCACCTCGTCTTATTCCAGTTATACTTTTATTATCGTAATGTATTGTTTTTGACAAATTGACTAAAATTGAATTTTCTTTTCTTTGTAGATAACTTAACCTAAATCCTGTTGTCTAAGTGATATTATTTGAATACTGAAAGATTAACTAGTTAAAAGAGAACGTAATAACAACTTCTTTTTATTAATTGACACATACAATATGATAGAAAAGCCAACTAACACTTGTTTCTAAACTTTAACATTGAATATGATTTTATTAAAGGAGAAACTACGTCGTGCAGAGTGTGGTTGAATAAATTGATCGAATGGAACTGATGCACTACGATCTAATGAATAAAATTAAGATTTAAGACATTAAATTATATAATACACTCCAATTTCATAGTCATTAAAGTATAATAAAGATTTAGAGTGGATATCTTTCAGTATGAATTCTGAATTAAACAAATCTAACAAAGAGAATAATATGTTTATCTACAATTACTGACAACTGATGGATTACAAAAGTTTATTTAAAAGGTTTAAAAAACGATACAGAGAATAACAACATGACGAACTGATACACAATCTCATCTCAATAATAATTTGATCAATAAAAAATTAGCTTTCGATGTACAACAAAAAATTAGCTATATTAAAACGCGGTAAGGCTTGAAGTATTAATAGTGGAAAAGCAGAGGAAATAAGAGATCATTAAAATGTTATTCGTCACTTTTTGGGGGGGGGGGGACTTTTAATTATTATGTACAAAAGACAAAACAGAACCATCAGGACTCACAACAAGTATAGTGTTTCTAAGCCACTAGTTTTTCAACTTCAAACAACTAATGATCTCTGGTAATGTGATATTTAATTGGATGTTATCAATGAATCATTTGGTTGGCTGAATTAGTGAGGAATTTCTATCAGAATTTCGAGAAATCCATCTCGAATTTCACTATTAATGATAAACATCATAATGATTAAATGGTGATACAGTAGTGTGAATGTTTCATGATCATCGTGAAACCAGATGATTTTTGCTTCAAAATTTGTGTGAGGTTGTCAGTTCATACTGTTATCATATCCCAAATATGGTCAAGAAATGTATCCATCCATATTTTTCATTAGTTCCACAGATAATGTTGGTTCATGATGATATAGAAATTAAATAATTAAGTCAAATAAACAAGTATTGTAGTGAACAGAACATGGGTGGGGACGATCGAATGCATTGAGTACAAAATTACAGGACTTGTTAATAAAATCTAACAATCATAAAGTAAATGCTTAATTTGCAAAATGTCCACCAATTGTCTCAAAATGACTCAGACTTCATTGTTCTTGCATTTTCATACAAATCGCATCCTGCTTCCATCCTTTACTGTTCGATCCTCTTGCTGCCAGACCTTCTGTTCACGTTTAACATCATATACTACTTATGTCAATATAAGTAGCACACACCATAGTACCTTCATTGAAACTATAGACAATCAGTTTTAGTAGGAAAAACACATTCTCTTTCTCTTCTCAAATTAGACGATAAAATTCACCCAAAATTATTTAGTAAAATGTTTTTCTTGAAAAAAGTAATAATAATGAATCAAAATAATATCTGTATAAATATTCACATTAAAAATATAATAATAATAATAACAATAATAATAATAGAATAAATAAAACCCATAACAGATTGAATGAAGTATTATTATTATTATTATTATTACTTTTACGTATAAAATAACAATGAAATTGTTACACTTTTCCTCTTTTCTCACTGATGAAATCTACTGTTTAATTCTTTTTCTTGTGTTTAGAGAGAAAAACAAAAAAATAATATTCGCATAATGAAAAGAAACAGAAATACTGTCTTCGTCTCTCTCTCTCTTTCTTGATTTCAATAATAAACAATGTTCACTTAAACACACGCGCACATCATAGAATTGTATCTTACTTATGTAGTTAACTGTTTCACAGAGATGGTAAGTGAAATATAACCTCAGATAGAGAGAGAGATATGGAAAAAAATATATTCAGCTAGTCAAGTACAAGATGAAGAAAAGAAATCAGAAAAAGCACTGTAAGAAAGAAAACAATATAACGAAATATTAATTAAATAAGCACCAGACCATATGACGTTTCCCATTTAATTATTAACCATTAATGTTGTGATATTTACACAACTTCTTAGCATAGAAGATGAATATTATTAATTTTGTGAATTGAGTGAAAAGGTCAATTATCTTAATATTTTCATAATTTATTTTTACAGAAAGAAAAAAAATGAGAAAATGTAAAATTTCTTGAGAAAACTTCGGAGATGATGTAGAATATTTGTACTTCAAAGTGAAGATTTTGGAGATGTTCTCCGAATTGAATGGTTTAATTCATTTTGAACTACAAGTATTCTCTATCTTGTTGCAAATCAATATGAGTGTAATAGGCTTCTAGCTGTTCGAAAATGAGAAATTCCTTAAGAAGCAAACTTCCACAAAATAATAATCACATTTCCTTCAATTGAATCATTTAAATTAGAGGACATGACATCCACTAAACAAAAGAAAACGTGTACTTTAATTTAATCTAATTTTGTTTTTTGTCACAATCAAGAAAAAATCACCATCTCTTATTCATTTGCTAGTTAATTAAACTTTAGGAAAGAATCGATCAATGAATTCTTATAGGTAAAGATCCCTAGATTCCACTGTTAACCGCAATCAATCTATTCCAAAGTAAGAATATATCTAGAAATTTGCTTTATATGAAGTACAGATTTGTCTTGTATTCATCCAGAGAATTAGTACATGCACAAACATACCCTAAAAAATCTTCCTATTGACTTTATATAAAAAGATCACTCAGGATGATTACAAGGAGTTAAAATGAGTATGCGAATCTGGATTTTTGATTTGTTAACAAGAGAAACATAAAGCTTTTAATAAGTCACTCTGCTTACAAAGAATACTATTTTTTGCAAGAGCGTACCTTTTCTAAAATATAAACTAATGATCATCAGTACAAGCAACTTAAAAGCCTTTGCTCAAGAAGAGACAGAGAATGTGATCGATTGCAGCTTCAAAGTACAAACCATTTATACTGATGATAAACATTGCGCTAAGTGAATAAGTCAATGTCTCAGTATTCTAAACAGTTCGATACTATTAATGTGGACATAAACACATATGCAGGCATATCCAGATGGTAGATCCAAAAAAGATGGAAAGTATGTCATACGCTACTCTTAGTCTTTATTCAAAATATAATCAACATGAAATCTCATGGTTCAAACTTAATGTTTATCTACACAAGATACTGTTGACGATCTTTGTGTGAATTTATACAATCCCTATCACCCATAGGTAAACTATTCCACTAACAGTGAAAAAACCCCCGTAATTCACCATTAACTGCTATGCAATATTTGCTGACCAATATATTCAGGTTATACGAGAGCTGACTTGATTTCAGATAAATCCAATAGGTTTTCGATATGTATATTTTCATTGGTAATTATATATATCGAAAGCCTTATAACTACTATAGAATATTTAATGACTAGCCAATGAATAGGGAAAAATTAATTTCAGAAATTACATAAGACGTAGATTGAAATTGAATAATTGAAGTTTTATTGATCCACTGAGAATACTACTTGGCTAACATATTCTCTACCACAGCTCAACAGGTAGAGAAAGTGCAATCCCGCAAATCACATAAAAATATGCAAATATATATGACCACGAGGCAAATTCAAAACCTTTTCGTGTAGCAAAGGCATCGAAAATGATATAGAACCATCTATCTTCTTCTAAAACGATTCTTATGAAAGTTACCATAAACACTCCCTTAATTTGATAAAATCCTGAATCCCGACTGTCAGAATGAGAAAATGTTACTAAGTGTACTTGGTTACTTACGAGTAGTTAAAAACGTTTTAAAAAATACTACATGTGGATATAAAAAGGAGATGTATTTTTTATTAGCATAAAAGAAGAAATTGTATATAATTTCAAGTAATGAGAAATACAGTCCTTGAGGAACATATTTTAAAGCCACTTCAATGTACCTAAAATTTTATAATTAAGAAACAGTATCATCTTCGAATTCTGAAGTATATTTTTCGCTGATATCTTCACTAATATTACAAGTATGTTCAGGATTTGACATTCTATTTACTGATTCGTCATTAGAAATACTAGGTTCATGTTCAATTTCAAGTATCGATGTAACATTAGAGGTCGTTTGGTTTTCACTACAGTTTCTATACACAACCGGAGCATCGAACTCATGGGCTATTAAATCTGATTGATGAAACAATGCAGGAGTAGACAAACCATGTGGATCATCATCACACTTATCAAATGATAAGGTTATATCAGGTGCTTCTGGAAAAAGTTCCGCTTTAATTAATTCATCGACTAATTCAGAAGCTGCACGATCAATAGTCTGATATAGTTCATCAACTGCTTCTTGAATTAAATCATTGGTAAGGTCTTCACAGACACGAATAACGGGAATATCTGGCAAGTTGTTAAAAGTTGTTGTAGGAAGTAAATAAAACCAAATGTTTTTAGCGTGTACATCTCGTCTGATTTTCGATTGCAATAACTGGCGATGTAATTTAACCGGAAGAATAAGTGGATGAAAGTGAGCAAGAGGACTGGATTTCTTATCAACGTGATTACAATCTGATTTCACCTTCGAGTAAGCTTCATTCTATAAGAAGAAATTTGAAAATATAGGTTTATAAATTACCTATTCAGGAAAATACAATATCCACTAAGTAGAGAAAGGTTAGAGATTTAGTCTAACTAGTATACTTAATGTACAATTTATTTGAAATGGTCATTCCAAATCTTGGTAGTAAAACTTACAATTCTTCAGACAGTTTATCCCAATTTTATAAAAACTATAATAAAAAACTACAATATGACCTCCAGTAACCTATGTTCTGAGTTATTTATGACAACATCTCGGATTACTTCTGGGTTGCATGGTCTATGAGACCTCAACTGGAGGACAAATAGTTGACAGTTTTATACAACTACCTCTCAAACTTTCCGGCCATGTTATAAACTAATTGCCTCTCCACTTTCCAATCAGACCCACAGTAAAACATGATATGCCATGTGAAATCCGGCCAAGTAACATTTATAAACCATGTTTATGATACTTAGATCAGTGTTTCAAGATCGTGAACTGCTTTCATCAATTTATCAAATATCAGGTACTTAATACGAAATCCCGACTAATATCTTGGATTGGTTAAGGTTAGGATATCGACTCAGTGGTCTAGAAGTTAAGAGTTCGCGCGCGTGACCGAAGGTCCTGGTTTCGTGGATGCACATTGCTGAAGGGTCTCACAATAGAACGAAACGGACGTCCAGTGCTTCCAGGTTTCCCATGGTGGTCTAACATCGATCGATTCATGATCTCAATCAAAAACATAATAATCTCCACAACCCCATCCTGATAACATCGTGCAATCCTGAGAGTGAAATTAGTGTATGATTTGGCTTGACAACAGAATTGATAATCCCATAATGAGCATATTTTTTTAATACAGTGCATCACAAACTGTGTACATAATTTATCATTTATTAAATGTTCACATTAGTAAAACAATAAAATTGTGAATATTTTATAAACTGAAATATTCTCGTCATAAATCACTTAGCTTCATGTGTTGTACTTGAGAAATAAAAAGACTAAATTTACAATATTCTCCCTTTGTTTCACCTATAATCATAAAACATTGAAACTATTGAACAAAACTTAAGCTTTATTTAAAATATTATAAAGTTATACTTAATTAAAATGTAATTTTCAAATAACTTAGATATTTGAGAAATAAGCTGACAATCAAACAAAATTAAATCACATAATATTTTCAATCAAAGTTAAACATCATCAATAAGAAGAAAAAACAGCTTCTATTAGTTGTCATGACACCAAAAGTAAATAAATAGGTCATATCATACTGAAGATTGATTTGTTTACATTAAAATAAATTCTAAAATTAAGAAAAATAAATTTTTTAAAAAAAAGCAAACTTAAATGCACTAGCAACGTTTTACCAAAAAAATTCCAAATCAATGTGTAGAACAGAAAAAAAAAATTTTTTGTTGTTGTCGTCGTGATAAATTCGAAATTGTTACGAAACACTATGTGATAAATTTGAAAATAGTTTCTAAGTGCAGTAAAAAAGTTTTTTCATACACATAGTTCCCTTTATCATCTTAAAGAGAGTAAGAACAAAGATTGGTGCCGAATAATATGAATTCATTTTATTTCATTAGGTTCTCATCAGCTGCTTACAACCTAAAATATTTAAAATTCAACATTATTACAGATATTGACATATTTATACAGTAAGAGGGTGATTAAGGATAAATAAATGTATCATGGTGTAGCGAAGATTCCGATAGAGTTAATGAGGTCATAAAATTTTGTCTCGAATAAATAGAGTTTGAGAGGGAAAGTTCCGGAACATTGAAATAGTGTTTAGAACTCATGAAAATAGATTAATGGTAATAAAGAAAAAATATGAATTGAAACCAGTCAGTTATGTTTTTTGTTTTAATTCTCAATAAAAATAATCATTTAAATAAACAAAATTAATTATCATGATTAATAATTTTATTGAAATAAAGAATGATAATTGAAAAAGTATATTTCTATCATGAATCGTAGGTGAAAATTAAAATATAAAGTACATATTTTTTATAAAAAAAAGAAAATAATAAGTAAACAAATTCTATTTCCAATATGGGATATATGTCCCCGTATCCGAGTTGAAAGCGAACGCTGGCTACGGGAACATATCCCAGTTTGGTTTCATAAAAGTAAAAGGAAAACAGTTAGGAGTTCTATACTTGAACACCTAATCGACTAAAAATTCTATTTCACTAATTATTAGTGCAATTTAAAAAAAAACATGTTAATATATAGATTCTAATCGTACAAATGAACTGATTAATTGATTTTATCAATTCAATCAACAATTATGAAATATTTATTCTTATCCGAATTGATATTCAATGTTAATTTGTATAAACTGAATTAAATCGTTCAATTATATATAATTTTTATTAGTAGTATTTTACAATGATCATTTTAAGAAAAATACACAATGTCTATTATTATTATTATTATTATTATTATTATTATTAGTAGTAGTAGTAGTAGTAGTAGTAGTAGTAGTAGTAGTAGTAGTAGTACTAATATCAAAACCATAATGATATAAACGATCTAACAAGAACAAAATAGAAACCAATAAAGTGAAACTTGGAAATTACAAGAGTAAAAGTATTATAAAGCAAATTATATTTCAATAATCAAACACTAATTCTTATACAATTAGTTAATTACTATGGTAACATATCAAATAGTAATAATTTAATATGAAAATAATAATAATAAATTGTAAATACATAAATATATTATGAATAATAAGGAGATAGAAAGAAAATTATTCACTTTTACATTTTACATAAATTTAAACATTGTATATTATATGTGGATAATATTTGTACATACTCCGAATGTAGACAGGATAATTAAACATCTGAAGATAAAACAAAGTAAGAAAATAATTTGTTTTTAAAAATGTTGGTTGGTTTCACACTTTAAAAAAAAACTACTTGAAAAACTTTAATGAAAAATAAAAGAAAAGAAGAGATGGTAAGAAAGAAGTTAGAAGAATATATTGATGGTAAATATTTCAAGATTGTTCTTCTTAAGTTTGAATCCAAAATAAAGTATTGATTGATGATAATATTCTTTTCTGTTTTAAAGATATTTTATGTAGAAACTTAAAGATTTTATATAAATGATTCTGATATTAAATAACTGTTAAGCAGTTTTAGTTTATAGTAATTTTTTAGTTCAACACAATGATTGATGTAACCGTGATTAATTGGTTGGTGAGTGGATGAATCTTCATCGATTCATGTGATTAAGAAATGTATTATGTATGCATAACCAGCACCTATCTCGACATGTGATGTTTGCCGGCTAGATGAAAACTAGGTATGAGCAAGACAAAATATATCATGGATTCAACGATTGTTAAACAGTCCATATAGGAAGGTGTGGACTACCAGTTTTGGGTTCACAGGATTATTGTAACCAACAATTAGAGACGCTGAATGACACAGCTTAGATGCAGTCACTCTTTCTTTACCTTTAGATCTTGTGTTCTAAAACTATTAACACTTCATTTGGTCTTCCTGAATCACAATGTTTATGTCTAATGATTCCTACTATTTCTCACACTACTGTTGTAGTGAATGAAGACTTGGTGACGAAAATCAATTTAATGCGTAATGCAAAACTACATGAAGCCTTCATAAAATATGAAAACCATACACTAAATACATTATTTGCACATCTTCCTACAGTTGTCTAACACATGCTTCATGATTCTTCCAATTCTGTTGTTATTACAGTTGCTCTCTATCTCCCTTCCTGTTCCCTTCAACCCAGTCTTCTGCTAGCAGGCATTCTACTTTCGACTGGTGATGCATACTTATATCTGCCAGCATAAGTGGCATATACCACAATGATATTTCTAAAACTAAAACTAAGGCAAATATATTCTATGTTGCTTACAACTAACTGATTGATTAAAGTAATTAATAGTAATATATCTCATTCTCCAAGTACAAGTTTATATGTTTAACAGTTGTTAGGCAACGTTCATTTATTGATAATCCTTATGAAATGAAACCTAAAAATTTTACTATATGGTTGTACCGATTTTAACAAAAAAGGTATACAGTAAAACAAACTTTTCACATCTTGCTGAAGAATATTGGTTACTTTTTGAGGCCCAGTATCTGACTGAGGTGTGAACGTACGAATGATGTTATCGAAATACACATCCCGACTACCTTCATACATAATTATCAATTTAATCGACCTTAGAGAATAACGGAATAAGTCAAATACGATAACGTATTTTGAATACGTATGTTTCGTACACTAGCCGAGCCGGACATACAACCAAAGAAACAAAGTGGAGAAGGCGAAGGGAGAACGAAGTAGAGAATGTCGTCGGAAATATGGGAAACGAAGCGACGGGGAGAAGAGAAGGTAAGGGAGGCAACTCAACCTGATCAAGCGCGACTCAATATTCATAGTCAAGCAAAGATAAGCTAAAGACACGTAATGAATAGGATAAGCAATTAACAAACATACACTCATTTAAAAACAGTCATGGTTAATAAGCGAATAATTAGCAAAGTCAAAATGTGACATGAAAAGAGTCAATAAATCAGTCTGTCCGGAGGTTACGATAACCTGTGCGGGCTTGACATAAGACTAGACACTACAATTTAGTACATGGAAAAAATAATCATAAGAAAAACTAACAAATACTTTGAAATCCCGATTATCCTTGTTTTAAACTTTTTTATACAATTGTAATTAGAATAATATTCTAGCCTAATGAATTATCTCATAATACATGAAATGATATGGAATAACTCGTGAGACTATAATCTATGGACGACCTTTGAGCGACGCCCTAGTGACCATGAGAACGTCTATCTATTTATTAGGGTTAAACAAAAGTTACAAAACAGTTTGATGAATAAGGATTATGATTTAAAACAGATGGTTACGGTTAGGAATTAGGTTCATTGTTTTCATCACGAACTGACATAAGCTAAAATGTCAAAACTCTATTTAGACAAATGGGTGAATGAATTTCGTGCAAATATCCAATACCTGTTATCCTAAATCTGATTAGTTAGTCCATAAATTATAGACTTGCAGAATAATTTAGTATTTGTCTTGTTGACAAAAAATAATATTAGACCTAGTATGGAGGTACATTACTCTACTAAGAAATATTTTACATTGAAAATATACTAAGTAAATGATATTTAAATAACATTGAAAGTTGATCACACAATGTAATTTGTAAATCAACACAATTGTGACAAAGAAGACTTAGTCAAGAGTGAGTACGAAATTACTTAACATGTATAGATATGGAATAAATAATTGTATAGTCTATTAATACAACATTTCGAAGAAATATTTAGAAGCTATTAATCATTAGTTTATATCATGTTTGAAAGTGAAAAGAAATCTTAACTATAATTGGATTTGAACTGACAGACTGTGGATAGGGAACTGAGTGTTCTATCGACTAATGAGTTATAAGACTTGACATTGGAGTGGATGTCACTTTGACCCTGGACCCTCAGCATGCATGAATTAAATATAAATATTCATTTTTTAAATGTAAATAAAAATAGAAAGCTTATTTATTTAAGCATTTCAAACTGAGTAATTTATAAATAGAACACATGTACTACTTTATGTATTATCTTCGTGTTACGCAACGTGCGTAAGTTATGCAATGATCTATCTTTTGACAGGTTAATTTGAGGTCGAATAGAAATCAAATAAAAATTTGACTTTATTTTTAATATCTCGATTTAGGTGTAAGGTAGTTGAAGAGAATCGGATGGAAGCCCTGGTAGATCTAGGTTTCATACTAATTAGTACTAATCAACAGATTGAGTATACAATCTTCGTGGAAATGATGCTTCTCATGAAATTTTATATCACATTTTATTCATTAGTTATCAATTTTCACGAGTCCGTAAACTACTCGTTTCGATAAATTGTTTAAGGATTTTTTAAACTGATTGGTAACTAAGTAGTATCAAATTTCATAAATCCAGTAAACCCAACGTCGTACATTTCCATTCTACCTATAACATAATAGTAACCCCTGTTTTGTTTCATCATCGTTCCTTAGCTCGGTAGAATGAACTCAGACACAATACTAATATAATACAAATGTACTTTGACAACTACCAAATAGCCCGAGGTCTGCACCTAAAAGCTTCCCCCTGATTGCTTTCAACCAAAGAACATCAAAACATAGAACACAGGGTACCAAATCGCTAGTGACCACATTCAAACATAATCGATAGAATTCAGCTAATCCAAACTAGTGGTAATCAATTGTGAGACTAATTTAAAAAAGATCTGTTTGTAAATAATTCAAGATTGGATCAGATCTATGATAAAATTGAATTTCAATTCAAAATAATCAAACTCTTGGTCAGTCCCTGTGTATTGGAATCGGTGGCGATCCATTTAATGGAACAAACTTCACCGACTGTCTTGAGGTGTTTTTAAACGATCCTAATACAAAAAAACATCAAAAAGCACAATTTAGTACTTATTAAAATTAACAGTGAAAAATAATATCTGAGGTTATTTGCAACGTTAAGTTTTTACGTTCAACTTCCTTCAGTGTTTCTGTGCATCTGTTAAGTTTCGATCTACAATGAGTACGGAATACATTAGATCAGAAGCTTCATAGCTCAACGTACACTGTAAGTTTGGTTCAGAAAACCTGTATTTCGTATCGAATGTAAAACTGTGCGTGACCAATCCTCGACATTTGAATGCAGAAAAAGAAAAAAGGAGAGAAAACTTTGCATGAATACTGATAATGTACATTAAACGGGGGAAAACATTGTTACAAAACTTGTATAAATATACTTGTCAAGTAGTAGTGTAGTAAACAGAACATGCGTGAGGACAATCGAATGTATTCACCACTAGAGCCATTCTTCACATTAATGTGAACAAATAACCCGTCTTACTGCTTAATTTGCAAAATGTCCACCAGTTGTCTCAAAATGACTCAGACTTCATTGTTCTTGCATTTTCATACAAATTGCATCCTGTTTCCATTCTTTACTGTTCGATCCTCTTGTCTCTCTGCTGCCAGACCTTCTGTTCACGGCTAACATCATATACTACTTATGTCAATATAAGTAGCACATACCACAGTAGTAGTAGTAGCCTAGGGAGATACATGTATGCTAACAGTCTAATATATGAACATCAATATGGACATCCAGTAAAACCACCTCACCAAAAACACTAATTAACAGCATAGTTCAAGAAACAAAAGCCAAGAAATTTTAGTAAAACTAATCACTGAAATCAACAAAGAACGGCTTCATTGACTTTTACAAAGTTTGGCCTCAAATAAACCTCTCGTGTATATAATACTGGAAAGAGTGAATAGTAGTCATACACTACCCTTACCAATTCATAGATCTGGTTAGCCAAACGAGTGATATAAATGTTCAACTCTATCAAATATGCAACAGATTATAAATCATGCTATTACCTGTGTGGTTTTCAATAAAAACTATGTCGACATGGCAGCTGATTGATTGAGGAAATATTCAGTTGTGAGAAATATTGATTCGAACAGTAGTATTTATAAATAATTCGAGAAGTATTTGTTTAACCTTAGTAATATTTACTCTTAATTTCCTCTACATGCTTTACTAAATAAAGAAAATATTGAAAATATTTTAAACCTTGCAAATAACTCACTTGATAAATGTTTTCAACAGTAAAGTAGTACAAATATACTTACATATCGTCGATTATTTTGCAGTTAATGGACATAAATAATGGGTAATCATTAACCTCCTTTCAATTATAACGCTCAATTTATCATTTCCTAGGCAAATTAAACTTAACGAGAAATAGTTTCATGTAGATCAGTAATTAATTATAGTTTGATATACTTACTAAGTTTTTAGTTCTAATTTAATAAGAGCTTGAAGTATTACAAAGCTAGGTAAACGAAGTAGATCAAGTGAAGTTTGAATTTGAGATGTATTATTCAATGAAAGTAGAGTGTTTAAATTAATGAACTGAATTTTTACATTATTCTTCATTTAAGGGCATATATATATATACATATATATAAAACTTACAATGAAAGCACGTCTGATTTATAATTTTTGCATACTGAATCATCTTTCTTGGTAAGAGGAAAATTATTCAGTCCACGCAGTTATTGACTGTTGGTCTGAACTGCATTCTCACTGGGGTTTTATTTAGAATAATGTTATCTCTACTCAGTAATCGCATTGTAATATATCTATAGAGAAGAGTACTAGAAAAATGTGCGTTATGTTAATAATCACAATGTTCATCAGGGTTATTTAATAGTAGGTATTTTATAAAAATACAAGTCAATCATAAAATATGTGCTATTTTTAAAAAGCAACAAGGTAACTATTTTCAACTATACTATTATTAGTATCTAACCTATGACCAAAATTTATAGAGAAGATTTGTAGCCCAGGTGGATAGTTTTGTTGGAGTTTTATCCACTGACCTAAATGATTAGGATGTGGAGCTTTCATTGTTCTTCTGGACAACATTATCAGTACATACCTCAAGTAGAAGTAGCTTAATGACATGTATAAATGTCATGAATGTCACCACAATGGCAGTACGTACCCGTTCCATTACTTGATCTTTCAAGAGTCCTTCTTGTAAATTATCAAATCTAAGCTATAGGATAATTGTTAAATATTAACTAATTGGCTTTTTTTAGAAGGAAAGAAAATTTCGTTCTCTTAGAAATTATGATTGGTTTTGTATATTTTACTTAAGCTAACCCCGTTTAGGTGATGGCAGTAATAAAAAGCTTGGACTTTATAAGAACTACTCAGAAGTAAAGACCATATCTAAGAGTATTCGAACATTTCTGGAAATTTACTACAGCTTTTCTTACTGCTCGATTTGGTTAAAATATGATTCAACATTTGTAGGTATGATAGATACAAGAAAGTGTGTAGATACGTACTATCATGCGCACATCTTAAGGTCACATGTGTAAATGACAAAACGAGTGGAACGACTAAAGTAGTTCATCTATCCAAAAATTAGGATAAATCGTATAGTGGTGTAACAATACTAAACGCTACAGTTCTCTGAAGTGGATGGTTTATTTACTGAGCTTTCATTGTTATTCTGGAAAGCCAAAGCTTATGTTTAGTGTTTGAAGGTATTCAGAAGGAAACTGTGGACCTAGGTATTGTCCTAGTTAGCATACAGCAGCAAAGCTTACTCGCGACTTATAGGATTCGGACCCACATAACCTAGCTTTATGACGGTGTCAACTAGAAGATAAGCTGGATCCACGGTTTCTTGCCAAGTATCACGAAACCTGGGTCCAGGGTTCCCTATTGACTACCTCCAAACACCATTTTATCTCAACATAGTGCACGCAGTGTCGAGTCACCTAGACTGGTGGCCACACTGCAACTTGTTCGACATTGGTCACTGCTCACTGATCAATCAATTATAAAATATGACTGTGTATCAAGTTCAATTTTAGTTTTAATTTAGTTCATCGAAAATTTCTTACTAACTACAGGTTTGTATACTCAGCCTTGAACTATACTGTTTGAGGGGATGACGAGGTTTGTAATATTATTTGGCTGAGTAAAACAAAGTAGGTGGGGCAGATTGTCTGCTAACCTTCAACCTATTAAATTCAACTGAGATATTTACCAATATAGTTTTGGAATGCTATTACTAATTATTACTTTTTTTATAGTTCTCAAACAACCCAAATATTATGTATGGGTGTTTCTCCTGTAGTTTAGCCCGAGCAATAATAAATTGCATTTCTTAATTTTGGATTTCAGTTCCTGATAGCACACTTGTACACTACTGAATCAAATAGTTCCATTAAAATCTAAAGCACTTTTTTAAGGAACAATTTCTGAAAAAACAATACTGTGATTAAAATTAATAGGTTTGAGTATGCTAATGAGAATATATATATCCAATTTGCCATTCACGTTAATACAATTAGCAAAGTTTTTTTTAAAACCAAATATAATTGTTGAAATTGACTTACACCAACCTTTTCCTCATTTGTCATGTCTTCTAATCAATTATGGTTGTTTGAGTCATAGCGATTTTCAAACTTCTACAGAAAACAGGGTTAAAAATTGGGTAACTATGTACCATGACAAAAAATTATTGTGCCGGAATAGCATACCCGATTAAGACACTGCTTAGCCCCTTATTTCAGATTGGAATCAGAGATATTTTAAATAATCCGCTTACAACAAACTCATATTCTATATCGCGTATTCCTATTTATTAATAAACCCCCACTGGTCAACGTATGCATCTTATGATACTACTATCACCATCGGTTACCATGACAATACTTCTGACGTTCTTGCAATCACTCGATGATTGTGTCCTTTCAAAAGAATTACCTTATGCAGCCCAAACTTTAAATGAATAAATATAGTTCGAAAGATAAATGTATAAAAGCGGGTTTTTATTACCCCATGTTTCTTCATAAATAATAGTTTACTCAATTGCTAAATTAAACTAGTTAACTCATACATTTTAAAAATATTATGGCAGATCGAACTAGTCTCTTATTTCATTGATTTTTGTTCAAACACTATATTCAAACGTCACTTTGTTCATTCTTACTAAATTTTTCACTCTGATGCTCACCGAACCCTGACATCTGTTGATCAATAATTAGAAAGCAAGAGTTAAGGAACATTATTTTCACTCTGTAATATAACTATCCTAATACAATACATTGATAATTATTTTTGAAATTCACTTTTCAGTCTTACTTCTTCTGTACTTTACAAGTTGATCCTAATTCTTGAGATTGAGCTTTATTTGACAAACACTTTGCCCGAATTTCTTCTAATGCATCTGAATATTGAGATAACTTGGCTTGTAGTTGACGTATTCTAGATTCCTAAGTATTTTAAATAATAAAATCCAAGAATACATAATTGAATTACAGCAACAATAGTAAATATTATTACATAAAAAAGATAACAAAAAAGGGAATACTATCCAGATCATTTAACCACAATTCTATACGTTGAGTATCTTATTTACATTGCTAGTTTTTTTCTTGGTCAATAGAAATTTTTAAGAGTTGAATGACCGGTTGTACATATTCTTTGATTTCATTCATCATGGTTTATTTAAGCACTATGATACCGCTAGAGTACTCAAGCCGACACAGGTGTTTTTTCAGGAGGCCAACATCTACAACCTGTTTAGTGTAGAATGTAGTTGAGGAGTGACAAAAGACGTATTCCCAGAGTAGCTAGTGACTATGCACTAATCTTTCTTTCAGAATACTGGGGTTTAAAAGCAGCACTTTGAAAATCAAGATCTTAAAACTGATCGAGATAGACTTTCTGCATTATCAACCCGAAATCGGTCTTTTTATTTTGTGAAAATGTCTCAGCTAGGCAAATGTGATAAGCAGAACTCCTCTGAAGGAAAACTCTATACAAAGACATTCAGGTAGAATGATAGCATACAACGGCATCTGTCGATTGATCCAAACCAGTAACAAGGTTATATAGGGTTGCACGATATTGTCCTTCGTTTGTACCTTTGGTGACATTTATAAATATTATGAGTGTCATTCCAACAGCCACCATACTAGCAGTATCTTCTGACACTAAGGACAAACGAAGGAAGTATTAAGATGCGACATTGTACTACCAAGAATATTTGTGCTAGCTTATTAACACTTCTTTATGGGAATTCTAGATAATATATAACATAGTGACCTGAGTAACTTATCAAACATGGTTCAAAATTAAATAAAGAGATAATCATACAGTAGATTATTACTTTGAGAAAAATAGAATTCCTTTTAGTTTTGCTCTTATTTGAGCTACCTTCTTTTTATATTGTTGTCGCAATTTTCTCCTTTTATTTTTTTTACCAAAACTATTTATATGGAGTATATCTTAGGTCCTTTTGTGGCTCACTCTTATGTCAGGATAAACAATTAGTAAAAAATAAACAAGGTTTTACTGACTTAATTAGCATTAAAAAACGAATAGCCATTGTGGTTTAAACAATCCAACCAAAAAATTCATCTATCCAAGTACGACGCTGAGGAGGCCAATACGTAAGCAATAAAGCTACCATCTGATTAGCAGATAAACTCAAATTTACCTAAATAAAAATATTGGTTATGTAGCGTTATTAGATTTCTGCAGTGTTAAAGTAAAGCAACGGAGTAATATTCACTATTTAGTTATATTTCAACAGTATATTATTTAATCTTAGTCCAGACTTGAGCTGTAGATAGAGGCCTCCAGGTAGTCTGACTGTGCTCATATTTTTTTCATTTTCCCTTCAAAACTACAACTTAAAAAACATTTTTTTGTATTTTGGCTAATTAATATTGACCACTAAGTTAGCGCTGTTCTAAAAACAATTGTTGCAATGTAGTAACTACTAAAAAGCTTTTCCGCCGATAATTGCAGTATAAAGTTAGGGAATATACCTGTGAATTTCGGAGCTGCTTTTCAGTTGGTTCATGAAGAGCACGTTTACGATTCGGAGTCCAGGTATCTGTATCCCGTATTGGAGGAGAATCACTACAAGCTGGTGCCTTGTCGTCAAATGTTTGATAATGCGCATTAGTTGCAAGTTTGCGTGTAGTCTGATAGAAGTCATTTCTTGAGGGAAGTATTCTAGGTTTACTCAAAATTGATTTATACTTCTGATCAGTGGTTCTCAGATTTTAGTGAGATATTCTGTAATTTCGTGCTCAACTACATTCGGTTGTCCCCACTCGTGTTCTTGTTCACTACAGTAATAAACTGAGTGTTATTCACTCTAGTAAAAATGTCATATTATTAGAACAGATGATATACACATGGACTTTGACAATACACATCTGTACTTATCAATTCTTGTACTGCTTTTTATCGACAGGTCAACAGATAGTCTAACTTTTCGGTTGTCTTTTTCAACAATCGTGCAACCTTAAATGCACAGTACTAGCAAGATACTTCAACTGAACCTACCTAAAAATGAATGCTTATTTATGCAACCACTCTAGTTAAGATTTGAGAAACATTATTCAATATTTTAGAATATTTGTAATAAAAATAGTTTACACTATCTCTGACTATATTATGGGGAAACGTTTGAATTTAACCTAGAGAGGACTACTAAAAGACATCAACTAAGAATCGAACATGCAAGAACATGGCATTTTAACTGATTTCAAAAGGTTGTAATATGCATAGGTGAACAATCGAAACGAGAGAAAAAAACTTGTCAGGTTATCTATTCATGTCTCAATATTCAATGAAAATGCGTTTCCCTATTTATTTAGTGAGTGCTGCGTATAAGCACATGATTTTCGCTGACTTCATTTCAATTACTTGAAGCTATCCATATATGAATTCTACGGATACATCACTGTAGCGAAAACAACTTGTCCAATGAAAAGAATATGGTGAAAGTGAGAGCTTGGGATATCGGGTCACCTAGTTTAAGTAACACACTTGAGACTAAGTCGATGCAACTCTATCAGAACTAAAACAAAACAACACAACATATATTATTATTTAGTGATTGATGAATACAGTACGTGATTGAGTCAATATATATGCTACACTCCATAATACTTTAGGCTGCAATCAAGAAAATTTATTCATATATGAAGATTATAAATCAGAAAATGGTTTCTTTAATTGAGAGTTACTTGTAACTCATTATGCATGCATGTTAATCTATGAGTTTAATATTGGGTTTTGATGTAGACTTGGAATTCAGCTGACTCGAAGAAGCATTCCTTAAAGTTATTCTCTTACCATAACACATTGTAACCACATGAAATAAATCACGAGACTTCACGTTGCTTGTAAAGGTATTTAATACGAGCGAGAAATCATGCTGCCACGATCAATATACTGAAACCCACCAGATTCCTTCATTTCTAACGACACATTATTCTGGGATTTTTGTGAAGAAAAATGCATAATCATACTACCCAGCTTTGTTCATGGAATCGAATTATATTCATAATGTTGAACTCAAAAATACCTTTGACTGTAGAAAATCGGTTTCTAAAACAAATTAAACAATCTTAAAAGAAATACCGGAACATGAAAAATCCTTTATTTTTTGTTGTTGGACAGTGTTAAGAATAATTAGTGCGGTATATAAATGCTAACATTAATTCAAGTAACTTTATTATCACACCAACATTGCATATGATTAGTAAATTGAACTTATCGATGTTCAATAAGAAAAATCAGCCATCAACCAAAAATTACCAACCTATTCCATGTTAAAATGTTTCGTATAACTTGTATCTATTATACTTAATGAAACAATATTGATCATTCAATTATAAATATAGGCACTTTATATTTAAAAATACTCAAAAAAATTGAGGATTCATTCTACCCACTTCTAATCACCACTTTGCATCAGTTGTGATACATTTAAATGGCTGGGAACTGTCAGGAAGAATGGTAATTTCATTGACCAAAATTTGAGACATCTCGTGCTCTCAAAGTCAGTTTGGTGGTTTATTCTGACGTTGTTCTTTACATAAAAACAGGAAGTACAAAGTTTATCATATCAACTTCTAGATAAATTGATATTGATCTAAAGTTTTTCAGATAGCCAGGATCACTGACTCAAGGTTTTCATTGATCGAATGTGTTACTTTCTCAATTCATGTCCATATATCGATTAGGAAATTTTACTATAGTAAATTAGACCATGTTTTAAACGATCTACTGATTGCTTGGCAATACAATACTGGACAATCAATAAGTTGAAGTAGGATGAATTCAAACAGTGAACATGTATAAACCTGTAGAGCCTCATTTCATATATACTTGAACATTTTTTAAGCACTTAAGGGTTGCTAAATCATATCGACTACATTAAGTTTCATTTCGTGTATGTTTAAAAATTGAATGGCTTATTGATGAATACTATTTTTGTTTATTAGATCGATGGAATATGTATTTGATTTTAAAACAAAAATCTTTAAATACAGTGCACTATTAATAAAGCACCAAGGTGAATCCCTTGAAATGACGGATTGTTGCAAATGATCACTCAAGTTCTACATAATACTATAATCATCCCGGGACGGCTAGGAAACACTTTATACTAGAATGTCTGTTCATATTACGTGGTCTAATCACGTCGATAAAATATCCCGAACTATAAATTGTAATGTCAACACTAACTAATCTTAGTGATGGATAATTTATCAGTTTGCATAATAAAAACCTATCTATATTAGGTGTTCAAAAATACTACTAACTAAAACGTGGAATTAGTCCATGAAGTCATTGTTTGTCGGTCTGAGCTGATCGTAAGCATAGATTACTAGGTTAGGTCGGGGCGATAGGGAATTACAAACCATGGGTAATATGTTTCATAATCGATCACGATGGCACATTTACAGATTGTATTGGTTAACAACTTTGGATACAGATTATAAGAGCTGCAAAATCATCCTAAAAGTCTCATTAATCAGTTATTATATAGAAAAACAGCCCCAGGTAAAATATCCGCACCTGCTTTTTGCAATTCTTGAGCTAAATTGTATTTGACGCCTTCATATTCTCGTTGTGCTGATGCAGCGTAGTGACTTGAACTGAGGCAGATATACTTCAATTTCTGTGTTGCTTATGTTCAACTTATCTTCCTTTTCCAAAGGTTCTTTTTCATCATTTACAATATTATACCGAAAATTATATGGCATTAATCCAGTATCAGTGGGAAAATTTGCACACATTACAAGATCTGTGAGAATGAGCAATTCTTTGTGTATACATGACAAAATATCCTCAGTAGAATTAAAACCCTCATTCAATATAAGATTTTTACACAGACTTGACTTAGTATCATCCAAAAGATGAGAGTATTCGACATTAAAATGACTCATAGAGCTACACAGTCTTGTAACAAGTTCAATAAAATCACAAGCAGAGTTCTTAGATACAGATTGCACAGTAAATTCTGTTAACATAAATTTTAAGTATTCAGATCATAAAAGAGCTAATCAAGATTCAACTTGGGCATTGAAGGCACAATAATAAATTCAATTTTGAAACACTCTTCTGTACGTTGTGAATATGCTGACGGAGAGCATTCGAATCTAGAAGGATCCAATAGTGAGAGGGTGGGAGCAATTTCGGTCTTTCTATAGATAATTTAAGAAAGTCTCTCATAGTTTCACCTTTCAAGTGGTACAATTTTTTCAAATGAATGCGCAAACGTAAATCCATGAGAACGTATATAATATATCACTCAATTAACAATGCCTTTTAACTTCTCTTATATGAAGAAATTTTCTTTGTCATTCCGATCGCAGTAGAAATCAAAATTTGTTCAACTTTTCGTTTGGTTTACAAATAACTATGAAAAGAAAAATTGACGACTATTTGCTGTAATAGCCTTGATATGAAACTAGTTGTTTATTAGTTAACCAACAAATAACTAACTGACAAGTCAAAATAAAACACAACACTAACTAATTTGAACTGAATCATTGTGTGAATGTTTAACGTTATAATTTAAAGTACAAAAAATAGCATAAAATAATGAAAATAAATCACAGTGGATGAAATAACTACTGGTTAATTTATTTAAAAAGCAGGTAATGACAGAGGTTACTTAGCCAACCGGACACTTTCTGCTTCCAGTTCTGAGAATCCAACAGAATTCAGGAGATTAATAAAAATTTTAATGCAATATTTTATGTCGACTGAGCCGCTCATTAGAAACTAGTGTCTATGACAACATTCCAATATCCAATATCTGTGTGATATGCTTGTATAAATCAACTGATTTCTTTGCGCTCGCTTCCTGATTTTGCGGTACGTTTTCAGGTCACTGACATCGTCCAATTTGGATAATCTTCCCACTCGGTTGTGCTAAGCCTATTGGGTGTGATGGTTAATCAGAGGTTAATATTTTTATAAAATAATATTTGCTCCATAATGTTAACAGTTACAGATCTAGCTGCGGCACTATCATCAGGGAGGAAATTGTTAGATGTATCAAGGGTTATAAATTTGAGGTAGAAAAGCGCCGTAAAATCTTAACCATGACGTGAACAGGAGTGATTACATTTATTTACGTTACGCAACTTACTAACATTTTAATAAAACTACACAAAAGTATTGCTATGTGGTCCTATTTAATTAGTCTAACTCATTTGCTAAATATAGGCTTATGTAATCCGCTCTGAGCAAGCTGTGGTAGTGAAAAGGCACAAGACATGCGTCGATTACAGCAATTCCAAACGAAAAACGGTAAGACATGAACGCGTACAATCTATTGATTGAAAATTAAGTTCACTAACTAAAGAGCCATTGCTAAGATTCCAAGGTGCTATGGTCACGTTGATTGAGAGGGCATTTCAGACAGAGTTGATCCTTAATGGAGAGAGATGTGATTTTATCAGGGTGCTGGATTTCATAATTTTTGAAAACGTAACATTTTGATAGAAATACTGGATCCTGAATAGCCTTTTAGTTTAGAGTCACGAGGGCAACCTCGATACATAAAGGATTAACACAAGTCCAATAATGAATGTGCATTGTTCTAAGTTGTCACACCACTTAGTCTTAGTTACAAGCACTATTAACGTGGTTGCAAAGGAACCATTTGTAAAATATTACCAAGTAAAATGGAACAATCTTTCTACACAAAAACATAAAGGCGACGGCAGCCAACAAATGTTTCCCAACTTATATTAATCACGGACAAAAAGTCACATTGCAGTGGTATTACCAAAGTGTATTCCCTCCTACACTAAACAATTAAGTTTCTACTCTAAATCTTAAACACATAAGAAGTACCTCAATTAATCCTGATTTATGAATCGGATTAAGTTACTGACTTTATAAAACTACCTTGGTTACAATACATCTGGGTGACGATGAAAGAATAATTGATCCTAAACTGCAGTATAATTACGGTACTTTCTGTTAGCAGAGAGAAAAGGAATTTAAACATAGATAATGTTGATGCTATATTTTTGTGATGTATGTGGTCACTTTCTCTACGGCAAAAATTTTAACGGAAGCGATATGTTACCGACATTTCGTTGACCACAAAGCAAACAAAAACACTGAAACTCTGACATACGTAAACTAGCCAATATCCTTAAACCTTATTGTCAAACTGTGATTAGATATAGATCATTTGTTTTGTCAAATTACCCTTAGGAATTAAGTAACAGGTTCCAATCATCCCCATATTTTTCTGTATTCCACGTCAATCAGATTATCATGTAGTCAGTCGATAAAACCAGTAACCGCTGAGTTTAACCATGGTGGCAAATGCAGAAACTACCTAGTTGAAATCCTCAAGGTAACTAAAATCACTGGGTGGATAATGCGAATCAGAATTGGTGACAAGGGTAAAGATTAATTCACTACTTATTTTCCTCAAGATTTTGAGTTCAGTAATAGGATCTCTTCTTTTTTGGCGAATCTTAATCTTTTCCATTGCCAGAACTATTCAAGTCATTTCGACGCATCTGCTGTTTATCTTCTTAACTTTCACTTATCGTACTAATTTGGCATAGTAACATAAATTGATGTACATTTGTCCCAGGGTCCATGTTAATGATGACCAGTAACATCATGTTTCTGGACAACACCAAATTTCGGCACCGTCGTCATCGAAATGCTACCTGGAGACATGTTGCAGGCTACAGCTACAACTTTAGATTAATCGTATCGCAATCAGCTACCGTCTAGAAGTATCCCAAGCTGAAAAAGATTTAGGAGTGCTGGTACCCTACGATTTGAAGTCTTACGCTAACCGCGACAAAAATGCCTTTCGAGAAAACCTTGTGCTGGTAACATTGAAGCACGTATTTGGCCAGTTTGACGGAAGAACTTTCCATATAATCTTCAACAGTTTCATTCATCCCCAAAAATATAGATGTACATTGGCTGCATTTGCATGGTGCCACGAAAATGGAGAGTAAAGTTGCTTGCGATTCCTCGGAACCTCCCGCTTATAAACACTGGGTTTCTCCAGGCTTCCTACAATTAATTGAGGCATGCTAGTCTACTCCGGCTAACCGAGGGTTTGACCATAAACGTAGATTCTTACGTAAAAAGATTGTGAAGAGCTTACGTAAGGATCGAATATGCTAACTATTTGGAACCAGCAGCCACATTTAATAACTGCTGGAAGCGCTTTCAACTCATCCGAGCCGCTGGCAGTTGGGAGTTTGGTGTGAGTAAAACAATCTGTGATACTGGAGACACAACATAGCACAACGGACTGTAGACACAACTTCTGCACCTTAAGAGTTGTCAAATGCTGGAATTCGCTGCCGGCTAAGCTAGCCCAAGAGAATTCACAGGGGGCCTTTGAAAGAAAACTTGACATATTCTTAAGGACTAAGGATAAGATCTGACTATGATACACCAAGGTTATTTTTCGAGGTGGTAGCGAACTTCTGGTCAGGGGACCGATTGGGTTGTTTGAAAAGGTTTGGGAATCAGTGTTTCAGCAGCGACAGTCATCCTTGTTTCCCCAAACCGTTTATGTGATCTTTGTAACAACTATCGGGAGTGTCTGATTTCAATCGCTTTCATAGTATTGGCTTCCGTTGCATTTCATAGGCTAATGTGTGTTTAAAATACTTTCAGGAAGAAACCAGGAAGCAACACGCCTTATTGTCACTCTATAAAGTGGAGAGTAGAACAGGTTTTGACTTCATCTCCCCCTTCGCCTAGGCCAACAGTCGTTGTCTCATGGTTAGCGGTTCGAGATTGCACTCTGTAGGGACAAGTGAGAGAGGACAAGCTTTATGTGTTCTGTGGGTCTGGGTGTACATAACATTATATTTTGGCAGATTAGATTCCAATTTACTAATCACCACCTAACCTCTTATCTTTTCAGAACCGATTGCGGTTCGGATGAGTTTTCTTCACTTAGTATGAGTTTCCGTATATTTTCATAATCCTCATAGGTTAGGGAACCTGATCTAATTTCAAAGAGAGCAAGAACAAAGGTTGGTGCAGAATAATATGAATTCATTTTATTTCGTAAGGTTCTCATCAGCTGCTTACAACCTAAAATATTTGAAATTCAAAGTTATTATAGATATTGACATACTTATACAGCAGAGGGCGATGAAAGATGAATATATGTAACATGATGTAGCAAAGATTTCGTTAGAGTTAATGAGGTCATAAAATTTTGTTTCGAATATATAGAATTTGGGAGGGAAGGTTCCAGAAAATTGAAATAGCTGTTTCTCCCACTACATCCTACTATCGTTCACTTATTTCCACATTAGATTATTATGCAATGAAGTAACTGAAAATAGATTAATGTTAATAAAGAGAGATATGAATTGAAATTGGTCAGTTATGAATGATGTAATTATAAAATTCACAAACAGTTGGAATGACGTAATAAATAAAAAAAATAAAAAATTAAAAGGGGGGTAATGTTACAAGGAAAGATTGCATATAAGGATATAGTACAGTAAGAAAGAATTAGTTCGTAGAAAGAAAGATATAAAGCAATTTTAATCTCATAGTTTAAAGGAAGACAGAGTGTATACACCGACGCCATTCCAACTCTTTCTGGACACTCTGTAGAGACAGTTTTAAGAGGGTTACTTCAGGGAATATATATTGCTTCTGCCATAAGAGACTGGTTGGTCATAACGTGAAATTTAAATAGATCGTTTTCCGTTCATATCCTCAGTGTCGCAAAATCTTTTTAGAGTTGAAATTTGTTCCCCTAACATTCCATTAACCTGCAGTTTTTAATGCCGGAAGCATGAACGAATGTCAGTGAACTTATCTTTTGAAAGATTATCTATGCAATCGAGAACGAGAAGTGGCAGTATTAATCAATGTATTTTCAGTTGTCTTATACACCAGACTGAACTGTAAATAATGCTTACGAGTTATCTAGCATCTGTTAAGCAGTGGATTAACTAGATGAATTCTAACAACTCAGTCGGTGTGATATGGCTCAACCATG